ATGAAACTTCCGTCGCTACCATTAAACGCTAGATCAACAACTTCTTTAGTTACATTAACAGAGGCGGAACTTCAACTTGGAGTCAGGGCGGTCGCTGCTCCTGCGACCGGTAACTGTATGGCTATGTCACTGGCACAGGCGGCAGGAGAAGCAACTTTGGATGGGCCAGACAAAACCCTTAAATTACTTACTACCAGGCTCAAGCGAGGCATTTTAATATACAGGGCTGTTAGATCTCGAAGGGCAACTCGCACATGACGACAGAGTGCATGTGCTTGAAAATGTCAAGCGAGGATGGCCCAACATGACCCAACAAGAATAGGTCACTCAAATGCGTTGGGTATCTTGAAAATTTTACAATCAGCTTCTCCGGCAGAACAGTGGAAGTGAGTGATGACACTTGGGAAGAAAGTGACACGGTTGGCATGGCAGCCAATTTTCTGCAAAAAACTATGTTCTGCAGTAGTCAGAGGGCCCGAAACCGCAATGGCGGTGCAAGAAGTTTATTCCGACAACGGTTACACACAATCGGCGAGTTTTAAAAACAGCTGCGGAATATACACTGTCAATGATGAATTTGATTGATGAAGTTGTGGCAGACAGCATCGAGAATCCCGGGCAACCACCACTTCTGCTGCATTTCTGGGGCCGCCACTACTCGGCGCTTCTTCATACTGGTAGGACCAGTCAGCCTTTGGACTTAGAGGAGGACGTGAACAGTATGGAGACTCAAGCATCGATTATGGCGAATGGAATGGCCATTGCACTGTCGGTGACACCCCTCACCGCAAATATGAAACAACTCGTGACGTGGACGGCTCCGGTGGACGTTTTTATGAACGGACAATGGACTAAGAGTACTCCAGACGAGATTTGGGCAGCGTTACAAGCTTGTATGGTGCATCCCGATATTTAACACGATATCCACGTGCTTTTTACGATTGACGAGCCGCTACAATATTGCGACCTAGTAACACTCGTTGTCACGTCAGTGATGACCCTGGACATGACGGAGCAACAACAAATTGCAGCGATATTACGAGGAATGGAAGGCAAGAAGGCCAAATTTTCTTTTTATTTGTCGAATGCAAATTACGCATAAACAAATTAAAATTTTGGCAATCCCAGCTCCACCCGACTAACAGAATTAGGCAATTCTCGATCACCACAGTGGCCCTTCGGCCCGAGAAATTGCAGGCTTACTGACGAATGACATAGGCCCGGCTGAAACGCAGCACCTTCGTCGCATCTCGGAGGTAGATTGTCGAGCTTTAGTACGCCGCCAAGCTACAGCTGAACAACACCTAGCTCTTATGGGCGGTCAAACGGTCTTATCGGCGCTACCTACAACGCCTCCAGCCGGAATAAGATTAACCTTCGATGTAGCCCGAAAACGCAGCTATGTCTCTTCTCCAGACGAACGGGTGTAGACCAGGAATGTCGTGAGGAGCAAGCACACTGAGGCCTTTTATTAAACTGGACGGAACGACACCATTACGGCGTCGATCACTAAGGATGAGGACTATGATCGCATTGATCGGGACGATTGGGCGGTTACGTGGGAGGCATTAGTCAGGAGTGGCCGTATCCCGGAAACATCTCTTCCCCCACCACTCGGAGCTCTTCGACAGAGTGGCAGAGGGTAGCCAGGCACGCATCGGAGCTTTTACTATGGAATTTCAAGCGTTGTATCTTTCCAGTGGAGCTACTGCAGATCGTGGATGTTTCAGTCATTTAACCAATGGATGACCGACAGTCGACGTACATGTTTGGAGGATGGGCTCAGTAAGTATCGTGAGCAGCCCAAGGATCGCTCCACGAAAAAATGGATTGATCGATGGATAGCCAACATACAGCACCGCAGCGATCAAACGAAGCTTGCGCCGTTAGTTGACAACGCTGATGATTGTAAGTTACCTCTTGCACATAATTACGCAGGGGACGACGTGTTCAAATTTTGCGATCCACAGCGTCGAACTCGGCTCAGTCAACATCTATCGTGTGCACTGTTGTACGATGATGATCGAATGATGATATGTTCAAACATTGCGATGTGTTGGTCAACGGATCATGTCATCCTTACCAGACTCATTCTTCGTAGACCATAAACATCACCTTGATCACCACCTCGCCAATACCGATCAGAGGAAGCTAGATCGGTGTTTAGATAAAATCTGATCGATCTAATCATATACTTAAGTGCATTCAGAAATGCGATTAGTGCCATGTAAATGGTCCACATCTTAGTCATTTTTGATACCGTTGATTCCAAAATCCTTCGATCAATTTCACCATAGCCACACCTTGCGCTGATCGCCGGCATACAGTGCTAGTATATCCGTGCATCTAAAGTCCAATCTTAATCCCAGTATCGAAACTTTGAGCTCTAATTTGAAGCGTCTGGACCCATCATCAAACTAAGAATCTCAGCGATCAAGTTTATCACATCGGTCGATCAGCCTCCGTCTACGACCTCCTCCCTATCAAACAATGATTACCCGGCACCCCGATAGACTGTTTCTTCGATTGTAAACTTTGTACGATCGGACAGTCCAGATCTCGACACCTCGATCGTGTTGGTATTATAGACTCTGCTTTTTATTTATCCATCATATGACAGAGACGACACAACGTATATATTGTGTGTAACGATAAACATCGATTATTGTTAGAAAGTAATATCGTTTGATCGATATGAAAAGGCTAAGAGGTAGTGCATCTGTAATGGGGTGAGTCCGTTACATAATATTGACACTTATGTGAGGTGTCAATAAAAATATTTTATTTAAGCTAATAATATTTGACAATATTATATTTCGTTATGATATTGCCCTCGCGATCTCCTCGAAGTTAGAGATATCCTCTAATTGGTTGATACAGGCCATTATATCAACCAAGGCGCTGACCGATGACCGATAGACGCGCGCAATAAATGGAGGGCACGAAGGTAGCATACATAATTGTACTTTAATATAGTTAAGACAGGTTATTGATGCTTTAGTTGTGTTAGATAGTTAACTATATTAAATACAGTTCTCTTTTCCTCTACTTCTAAGCGAGTTTTTTTGAAGTAAAGCTTCCTCTGCCTCTTGTGTAAGAGAGGTTTTGAGTCACCTGCTTTGACTGTCATCAGTGAAAGTAGACTATACAGTTATCAGCATAGTCGGAGGGTGCCCCATTACAGCATCGGACCGAGGTAAGTAATTAGCTGGCATTAATTTACTTTTCATCTTTCCTTCTTCGAGCTTCTACAGCCCACAACACCCTTGGTCATGCCTCACATCCGACTAGATTGCAGCCACTCCTCAATCGCCTGCTCATTTCCCCAGCGGTCGGATCAAGGTCATCCCGACAATGATTGGCGTTGACGCTTTACTCTACTTCAGCACAATGCGCAACTATCTCTTTACCCACGGTAATGTAGACCGCCGTTCACCCCTAGAAGTACTTACGGTATAGGTACCCGACGTCAACTACTTGGTCAAGTTTGGTTTCCGCTGCACCGTAAGGCTAGAGCATGCGGTTGCAAAGTCGCTTCGAATCGCTCCGAATAGGCGTTCATTCTCGCCACTTACCCCCGTTAACAATGGCTACAATCTCTATCTTTCACGTACCAAGACGTATTTGACCAGCTCCAACATACAAAATGTCGATCGCGTTGACATCGATGCCGCTGGTGACCTCGTCGACACCTTCGATACGCTTGGCGCTGTCCCCAGCACATTTCAGCCCCAGGCTCAGCAAATGTTCGATCGTGCCGCTACCACCGACGATCTTCACAAAACCACGCCAGTGTCTGAGGGGGAGTCATCATCTGAACAGCTTACATCCATCCAGCAACTTTATAAAATCAGTGACGTTCAGGCAGCGACGACGACGATGACTACAAGAAAAGTGAACCAGTTGACGACGTCACACTTACCAAGCGCCAAATTGATAGTCCACAAGCGCGGTGCCCAACTTCCCATGGAAGACTTCGAGCTACCTGCGTCCCTTCTTCTCGATGTCACCAGTGTATTCGGTGCAGCAATGATGGCCCTTCATATCTCTGATGGTGTTCCGGACCCTCAACATATTCGCGAAGCAATGGCAAGTCCATTTTGGCCACAGCTAAACGAAGCTATGATTCGAGAGCTGGACCAATTGTGTAAGAATAGTACATGGAAGGAAGCGGTCCCACCACCTGGGGCCAAGGTCGTGTCAACAATATGGATCTGCGAGATCAAATACAACTCGATGGGAGAACTCGACAAGTTTAAGGCCCGGCTCGTGGCATGAGGATTGACCCAACGCTATGGTGTCAATTACAGCGAAACATACTTTCCGGTACTCAAAAATGGCAAGCGCGCGATTTCTTATCACACTTGGAGCTCAGTGGGTCTGTAACCGTTTCTGCGACGTAGTTTAGAGTTTCTTGCTAGTTCGTTGTTCGAGTCGCTTCGGCGACTGACAAGTGTTGCACGAGCCTTCGCGGCAATCGGCAACCTTCATTACTAGCACACGAGGCTAAAATGGTGGAACCGCTTTCTCACTTGTGCCGAAGGTGTGTGTGCTTGTAGCACGTGGCAGCTTGTAAAATCGCCCGTCTATAGCGCTTGTTAGCATTTCAATAGCTTCAATCTGCTAGTTAACCACCACGTCTTCCTCGTTTTTTCGCCAACGTCATATAACCACTGTCACTACCAACGCCGCTCAATTTACTCGAGACGGACCCGTCAAGTAAATTGAAGATAATCTCTTTGCACGAAGTCGGTACCGTGAGAGATTGCCACAATTTTGTTTAAGTACTTAAATTGTATTTGTTAATTGTTATCAGAGCCTACAAATGATTAAGAACCAAGCTAATGAATTATTTTTAAGCAACTATTATAAATAGCTGCTGTTATTACAAAATTATCACCAGCTTACTTTTAGTTGTACAACTTTTTATGATCGCAAGCATTTAACACGATATTTCACTAACGTGCAGAATTTCGATACAAAGAAAGAACGAGGTAGCCATGTCGAGGAGCGACCATGAAGACGACTATATCGATGAGGTGCAGCATCACGAAGGCTTTGTTCTTGACCAAGTAAGTCGTCTGGTTTCTGCTGCGTGTCTGTCTGTCTCTATATGACCGGACACACACCTTCTCGCTAAGAAACGTTGCAGTATACTGAATACAGATGAAATGGTCGTGAAATGATCCGTAGAGCATCAGTGCACTGGAAATCCCTGACCGTGAAATAACCTACCGCCGTGCTAATGTGGAGACGCAGTTCATGACGTCGCGCTTTGACTCACAGGTTCGGGGCTTGTTATTCCGTATAAATTTCAACTCTCTGGCTCTTATGGGTCATCTATTTACTTTGTTCCTAGATGGAGAATGATTGGGCACCACCACCTCCGGAAAAAGTGATGTTCACTAATACTGTAGCCACGCTGCAATACCTGGAAGATGGCTCTTCAACTGTGATAGGGCTTGACCCCACTCTGGACGGTTCTGAAGGCGTTGACATTGATGCTGACATCAGAGAGAGGTCCGAACTCTTAAAACCCATAGGAGAGGTGCCGGATGCACAAGAGGTGGGCTATCACCTAGTGAACCCTATGTTCGAGTCGCACGAACCTCCCTTGGTCGTTCTTCGTAGCCTTTACACAGCTATGAGCACACAAGACATCGAGTTCTCGTCTGATCACGATTGGACGGTGCGTCACGTCTGCCGCAATCTTTTAACGTCCTGTAAGTTGTAGATTGACACGCTGTGTGTAAAAATTTTGCTGCTAGATACACGCTTATGCGCTGATCGCAGCGGAAGAGATTTTCTTCAGTGTGCAGCTGCACCGCTTGGCAAGATTGAAGCCGACCATTCGCGTGGACTTTAATTTGCGCTCGGTACGTTTTGCATGTATTTTGATGTGGATGTTGGAATTCGATGCTACATCCATACGATCCTTTACAGGGTGACGAGCTCAAATTCCTCGGGATGACCGACTCCATTCGCAAGCACTGTAGAGCTGTCGACAAGGACATGATCGGACTACCTGATCTCAGGTTGGTGAACATTGCTCTCAAAAGATTTTGTTGTTTTATTGTGCTTGGTGTATCGCTATGTTGCTGCCACACAGCGAGCATGGGTCTTGCGCAAGTAGAGAAATTGGCTTTAACACGAGTGATGTATTTTGTGCTTCGTGCGCTGCCACCGTTGGATTCGGCTGTAGAGCAGCTTTGATATCATGGAGGATTGGTCAACCCCAGGCGAGATTCTCCCAGGATCTCTATCAGTGGACTCGCAAGAGCTATCGATGCTGCTTCAAGAGATAAACTCGGTATCTCCGCCCATCACACGCCACGAGGTGGCCAAACGGTTGAAAGAGCTCTGTCAGTATGACTTCAACCGCCGCGCTTTTCTTGACCTTTTCAAGGAACAGTTCGTCACCGGTATACAATCGATGCTTCAAGATGACAGCGAAGATGTTGTGCGATATGCCATCTACATTATCCTGAACTTTGCTGATGACATCTCGACCCTGAATGGGTAAGTGTAGAAGGCGGTTAATTTGCTGACAGTGGCTTTTCTGCTTTGGTTTGTTACTCTAGTTGACCATGTTGTTTTTCTTGTTCACTTTACGGTAGTTTGGAGTTGCCTCGGTTGCCTGAAACTCTTCGTAATATCTTGACGCTGTCACAGAAAAAGTCGACGAAAAAGGTCGCTGGTGATCTTTACAAGGCCATGAACACTGTATGTTAGGTTAGTAGTACACGAAAAACGTGGTCACTTGATAATGTAATCAAGTATGATTCTATCGAAATAAGAGCAAGACAGATGAGAAGCTTGAAGATATGGAGAGACATCTCAATGGTAAGCCTGTCATCGTATTTGAGAGAAGTGGTAGTAGAGGTCGTAGTAGTTTCATTCAACGTACTCGTTTGGTAGCGTAAAACGTTTAATACTATATCAGGTCGCAAAACCGTCAACGTTGTTCAAGATGGTGTTTACCATACCAGATCGGTCAAACAGCAATATCGCGTTTCCGACCCTGCAACATTTTCGATCCCTACGCAATGCCCGCCTACATTCACGAGTCGGGGAACGCCTTAACAAATGCTTTGCCTACGCTGTGCAAAACGTCGGGTGCCGTCATGGCGCGCTGGTGCTTGACAAAAGCAAGAGATGCACTTCAACAACAACAACCACAGCAACATCGGAAACAGTTACGACAAGTTCTTGCAAAAAAGAAATGGAAGCATAACGAACCTAGCTCTTGTCACGAGAGAGCCTCCATATGCAGCTAGCAAGAGCGAATTGCCTTCGAAACCATCTCTGGAGCCATGTGCAAATGCAAAGCAAAGCGAGAACATATAATGGTCAGAGAAGCATTCTTTCACACAATCGGACGAGCGTTAAGTTTTCACAAAGACGTACGGCACAGCATGCTTTGCCCACGCCGCAAACGTGCCAATGGATCCACAAAGAACCTAAACAAACAGCGGGGACTTAAGCTTATAAGGCACCAGTGGCTTTCTTGCAAAAGTATACCGGTCGTCGTACATCTCCTTGTCCACCGCAACGACGTGGGCATCCAAATTCGTCATTTTCCAGCGCTATCATATCGCCAAAGATAAGTTAGTACAAACTCCACAGCCTATTGCTCAAGCATATCAGCTTGTATTGGGAAAATGGTCGGCTATCCCGTACTGAATGTGCCGTCTGACAATCTGTCCACGCTGCCCTTCTGAATAATAACCGCAAAACCCAAACTATGCGCGCAGTACGAAATCCCACAAGACATAGCGATAAGTTCAAGCTTAAACATAACTTCACTCAGTAAAAGATACCTACGCCTCACTGAGCTGAGCCGGTGGAATTTTCACAGCTTGAGCAACATCAATGGTCGGCAGCAGTCGGGTTGTGGCACACAGTCGTGCGTACTCCATCTAGCCAAGGCAGTCTATCAATGCGTGCAAATCGATATTGCTAATTGACCAGCACCCACCGCATTTGGAGTAAGAATCGCGTTCTTGTAGCCAGTCACCATGCCCGGCTCGAGACTGATGAAATAGAGAGCGTCGCCGTCCAAAATTAGTGGCAAATTGGCCTCCTTGGCCTTTTCAATTATTTTTCGTATAATCTCTTGCACACTGGCATCTCGTCCAAGCCCAGGTCCAATCACCAGTGCGTCTAGTCTCGGTAATACCTGCGTAATCCTCTCCACCGCTTCCAACAAGGCTCTAGCACGCTGCGACTCCTCCAAATCTGCCAACGACGCATCCGAACGCAGGAGTGGGTGAACAATAAGTTCCGGACTGTAGCTCTTAATCGGAACAGCAGCCTCCTGGACACAGAAGATGTGACACAAATCTGCACCCGTTTTAAGACTCGCTACACCAGCGTAAAACGGAGCCCCAGTGTACTCAAAGGAGCCGCCAAGCACGCCCACACGACCTGCAAGTGTCATACAAACCCATAAACAGTTTGAATTACAAAGTAGTCGGAGGAGACACACGCCAGTATCTGACCTTGTTGTCCTTTGTGCCATTGCCCTGTTAGCGGCGGGATCAATTGGGACACAAGTGCGCGGGACATAATCTTCTTCAACATCTGGAGCTTAATATCGGTTTATAAACCGGTATGGATGGAAGACCGGTTTTTCACGTCAGCATTTTTCTCGGCTTCGACGTGTTATCAGGAACGACCAATCACGCGCGAGGACGCACTTCAACTGTTGACATTCTCCCGCATTTCTGAATCGACGCACAAGGACTCAACCACTCGAAACAATGCTGTCTCCATTTCTGCTTAAGAATACAACGCGTATAGGAGGTATGAGACGACTTGCAACAACGCTGCCGGCTGTGCAAGTGCTACATCAGACGCAGACGCGTACATTTGTGGCTAAACAGTTATACAAGGTGGCCAAGCGCGTCATGCCACGCATGTCTGACACGGAGAAGGCGGCATTGGAAAGTGGCACTGTGGGCTTTGACCGTGACATCTTTTCGGGTTCCCCGTCGCTTGCTACGCTTGACAAGTACTCTGCGCAGCTCAATGAGGAAGAGCAGGCGTTCATGGACACTGAGGTACAGCAGCTGTGCGAGATGATTAACGATTACGACATAACACGCAACCAGGACATGCCACTTAAAGTGTGGCAGTTCATTAAAGAGAAGGGGTTCCTGGGAATGATCATTCCGAAGGAGTACGGTGGCAAACAGTTCAGTGCGCACGGCCACTCGGTCGTGATCACCAAGCTTGCTACACGCAGTGCCACAGCTGCTGTTACCGTGTGCGTGCCCAACTCACTAGGACCTGCAGAATTGCTGCTTCGATATGGAACAGATGAGCAAAAAAAATACTTTCTCCCTGGGTTGGCTAATGGCAAGCATTTGCCGTGTTTTGGTCTCACGGGACCGTCGTCGGGGTCAGATGCTGCTAATATGCGTGATACGGGCATTGTGTGCGAGCAAGACGGCGTACTGGGTATCCGTGCGACGTTTAGCAAGCGCTACATCACTCTAGCACCTGTTGCTACATGTGTCGGCCTGGCTGTGGATGTAAAGGACCCTCAAGGTTTACTGAAGGGCACGGGACACCCAGGAATTACGGTCGCTCTCCTTGAACGCAACCATCCTGGTCTTGAGATGGGTCAACGTCACGATACCATTTCAATTCCGTTTATGAATGGACCTGTGACGGGTGAGGACGTGTTTATTCCAATGTCGAAGATCATTGGTGGACAGACGCGTGTTGGCTACGGTTGGAATATGCTTATGGATTGTCTGGCTGAAGGCCGCTCGATTAGTCTACCTGCGTCGGCTGTTGCTGGAGCTAAGCTGTCGGTCAACGCTGTTGGTGCCTACGCCCGCATTCGCAAGCAGTTCAAGGTTCCGATTGCCAGTCTGGAAGGCATCCAAGAGCAACTTGCTACCATGGGCACGAACGCATTTATTATGACAAGTGGTCAGCACATGGTGAACGCTATGATCAACCAACACGAACAGCCTGCCGTTATTAGTGGTGTGTGCAAGCAACAAATCACGGACCGTGGTCGTGACACAGTCATTCGCGCTATGGATGTCCTCGGTGGCGCCGGTATCTGCAAGGGTCCCAACAATTTTCTTGCTAACATTTACACATCGCTGCCAGTGGTCATCACGGTCGAGGGTGCAAACATTCTGACGCGCTCCTTGATTATCTTTGGCCAAGGTCTTACTCGCGCTCATCCTCACTTATACGAGCTTATTAAGACAATCCAGCACGGCGACGACGTGGAAGGATTTAAGAAGGAGCTGGTAAAGCTAGTAAAGCATGGTGTGACGAACACAACTGGCTCGTTGAAGACGGCTGTCACACGTTCGCGCTTCAAAACGCAGAGCGGTCTGCTTACACACTACGAATCTCAGATGGACAAGCTCGCGAAAAATTTTGCTGCGTGCGCAGATCTGTCGTTGGTGCTTGGTGGCAAGCTCAAGTTTGCTGAAATGGTCTCGGGTCGGTTTGCGGACGTGTTCTCGAGCCTATACTTGGGATACTCGACAATGTGGTTCTACAAGAACAACCGCCACGTTGAAGGCATCGACACGATCTTCGACTCCGCCATGACGCAGCTGTGCTATGAAGCACAGCAGGGTATCGTCGGCATTAGCAAAAACTTTCCTGTGCCAGGTGTCGGTCCAATCATGCGCAGAGTGTCGTTCCCATTCGGCTTGCCGTACGGTCCCCCGACAGACAAGCAGGCGCGCCAGGTTTCAGATCTGATCTCTACTGACTCGGCTGTGCGTCACTTGTTGAGCGACAACGTGTTTGTATCGAAGGACCCCAAGGACCGTGTGGCGCTTCTGAACGCGACATTGCCGAAGGCTGTGAAGGCGGACCGCACGCTCACTGCACTTCGTAAACAGAAGCGCAGTGCAACTATTGACGAGCAAAAGTTCATCGATGATGTCGAGGCTGCACGAGAAGTTATCATCCAAGTGGACAATTTCGATGGTCTCGGTGCTGAAATTGGAAAGCCTAAAGACTACGTTCGCCCAGGCATGATTGGCAATATTTTCGACGAGAAGAAATAATCAAGGAACGTGGGAGCAGGAATGAAATCTTTACGATAGACTTCATTGGCAGGAGGATGAAGAGACGAGAGTTTCCAGAACACAGTGACAATATGCATACATAACACAAATCGCTTCCTGGCGTGTCTTCGAAGTTATGCAAAAAAAGCACAATTAAAGTAGAAGCAACCAGTCCATGCGCAGGGTAAGTAAGTGCCCAGAAAGGAAGGACGACATTGCAATAAAATTGCAATACCTTCGTATCTGACAGCCTTGGGGAGCAGAATTGCTCCACATTTCCGTTTCCAAGTATTACTTTGCATTTTTTCTTCATTGCGCGCCAGGAGCTTTTATAGCACCAGGATACAGAAAATTCAAGCAAAAAGAGTTCGCACATTCGTCAAGATTGTTATCTGTTTTGAATCGGGAAGATACTTTAGTTCTCTCCGATAAATTTCTGCAGCCATCAACAACAACAAAGCGTTAGAATTATAATCAGTACCTTCACGTGCTACCTAATACTGGCACACACCTCGGTGTTTTGCCGAGCGCATCGCACAAAGGCGTCGGCTACTTCCTTGCACTTCAACACGTCACTCTGCTTGTCTCTATAGCACTGCAAGCACGCCTCGCGTTCAGGTGAGCACTGCACGTCACGGAGCGGCGCACGGAACTTTTTCTTGTTAATCTCGACCACAAGCTGCTCTACGCGCTGGTTCTCGCGCTCCTCCTGCTCCTTTGCGAGCTGCGCCTGCTGCGCTAGACTCGGCGCACCAATGGATGCCTGCTTTTCCTGCTGACGCTCTACCTCCACTTTCTTGCGGTAGTCATCGGCCCCCTACAACAGTCCACAGATCCGTCATCAGTTGACATACAGCTCGAATTCTTTACTGTCAGTGCTGATGCTGCAGATGCACCTTAGCGTAGGCCATTTGCAGCTGTTTCTTCATGACTGCGTGCTGTCTGCAATAGTAGAATACCGGTATTAGAACGCATAGCAGTACATGTAACACGATACAGACACGTACTGTGGGTTGAGGCCGACTGCTGTCTGCTTGGCCGCGTTAGAAGCCGCGTGCGTGCCATTAATCTGGTCGATAAGTGCCGGCGTGAGGCGGATGGAGGCACGTGTCTCCTCCTCGTAAACCTCCTCCGGGCGCAGCTCTGATACCGGCTCTGACATCGCCACACGCGACTGCTTGGCGCCCATACTCTGTGTGCTAATAGTGGTATCTGCAAACTTAAGTATAACCGATCAAAGAACTCGGTATACTGCTAGGAGTAGCGGTATGGGATTAGGCAGGATTCAAGTGCGTGTGCAGAATGGATACAGTAACGTCGTTGATCCGGACTCAGCACCGATAAATAACAACCTGCCAATAATAAGCGGCCAGATCAGTAGACTGCAAGACGTGACGATTACCAAACGACTGGTGTCGACTGTCAATATCAATTGACATATCTTACACCGCATTAACACTGAGCAAATTGAATGTGTTCATTCGTTACTGGTAGGAGCTCACATCGACCGGATAAAATGGCGAAGCAGTGCTGTTATAGAATACGTCACCACGTAGCAGCTTATTGCATCACTATGATAACTATTGAAATTGAGCAACAAAGATGGGAATGGCAGTATTGGCGGTACGTGCTCGAGCATTGTACATGTTGACTTTCGTAAGTGATTTATGATATGATAGGTATAAAGAAGGCTATCAACTACAGAAACGACAGGCTATGTCTGACCCATCGACCAGTGTCATTCATTTTTGCTAAATACCGACGTAATCGACCTGAGATCTGATGTTTTTGATCGTCTTCTAATTTTCGAACTGCCACTTCTAGGTCAAGCGCATACAATCAAATCCCTCCTATCCTTAATAGTTACCTCAATCAGCCTTCAGCCCTACAATTCTGTACGTCAAACCAGGTCCTCCGCTGTGTCAATGCTCACTCACTCTCCAAGATTCCCTTGACAAGGCAAAGTGTTCCTCTTAATAAATCTCCACTAGTCACTGCTGCCATGTCGGACAAACAGAAAACAGCGTTGATCGCCGCCTCCGTAGTCACGGGCGTGACTGCCGGTTCCTACTTACTGCGTCTCGCCATGCGCCCCGTCCTGCGCGCACGTGCCGCCACATTTTTCAAGGGCGTGCTATCGGACGCCGACATTGTTATCGATCGAGACATCCGCATCTATGACGAGGATATTTTTCTTGACTGGATGCACCATGGTATGCTGGCCATTGGCGAGTCCTACATGGCTAAAAAGTGGGACGCCATCATACCTCTCGATGAGCTGCTCGCGCGTCTGCTGTCGCTACCCGCTGAAAAGCGGCGCCAGATCTTTAAGGCGTGGAACGCCAAGTTTATCGCTCTGGGTGGTAAGATCTTCAACTATCAGTCGCCCTCGCGCGCTGGTATTGTTGGAGTGCGCCACTACGACCTGGGCAACGACTTCTTCAAGCTCTGGCTTGACCCGTACATGCAGTACTCGTGCGCCTACTGGAAGGGCGTTGAGGGCAAAAATGATCTCGATGCGGCGCAGCGGAACAAGCTGCATTTGATCGCCAAGAAGCTCAAGCTCGAGCCGGGCATGCGTGTACTCGATATTGGCTGCGGCTGGGGTGGCCTTGCCTGCTTCCTTGCCAAGGAGTATGGCGTGCACGTCACTGGCATCACTATCTCGAACGAGCAGCTTAAAGGCGCCCGTGAGTGGGCCGAGCGTGAGGGTATGAAAGATCTCACGAGTTTTAAGTACTGTGACTACCGTCAGATGCACGGCCAATTCGACCGTATCGTATCCGTTGCCATGGTTGAGGCTGTGGGCTACAAGAACTTGGACGAGTACTTTAGCGTCATCCAGCGCTGTTTGAAGGAGGGCGGTCTCGCCCTTGTGCACGGTAGTGCCGCTAACCGCTCCATTGAGGTGCCAATTCAGCTCTGGATCCTCAAGTACATTTTTCCCAATGGCTTCATTCCATCCGTTGCGCAGTTGATGCTATTCTCGGAGCGCAAGCTCATTGTGGAGGACGTCCACAACCTTGGCCCGGACTACGTCAAGACGCTCACGTGCTGGCATAAGCGCTTCCAGGAACACGTCAAGAGAGGCAATGTCGACCGCTCGGAGGTATTCTGCCGCATGTGGGACTTCTACCTGCTGTACTGTGCTGCCGGCTTCCGTGCTCGTACCCTCCAACTCGTGCAGGTTATCTACTCTAAGAAGCGTATGGACCGCTACGATGCCGTGCGATAAGTGAAGAATCTAGTTCTTCGAGGACAAGTGCCAGTAACTTCTGGCTGTCTTGCCAATGAGGAAAGGGATGCGAAGTGTAGAAAGGCAAGCATGATCTTGCCTGTGCATAGGGGAACGCTTTGACAAGAGATTGAATTAGCTAGCAAAGTTGGCAGATAATCCAAGCAACGACTTTGCAACGAAAGATGAAGATCTATATGTTGGTGATGACAATGAGAGATTGACCACTTCTCGCACTCCGTATCAGCTAAAAGTTCTATGATCAAACCAACATGAGCTCCGTCACCGCAATGCAGCTATCGGCCCAGCTTACCAACGACAGAGTGGTAAGCGTCCATTAGGACAAAAAACCCAGCTTATTCTTGCTCTCGCCGATGGTAGGCTATTATCACGGGTCGTACAAGCTGGCTTTTGTGTGACTGCATCGTCGTGGTGAGGTAGCATTATAGCAGCATATGCTGATGCGTACTCTTATGTTGACTTTGCAGAAATTTTTGAGCGTTAAAAGTTGCGCAGACAAGTTTAAGCAGACGTGCGACTGCCAGTCCTGGGACTGGTGCTTTTGGTGGACAACAGTATAAAACTGCAAGCTCATTGCCGGTCAACAACGAGAAAAGACCAGCCCGTTTGCTTCGACGTGTCTGAGCTGGCGGCCAGTTCCGTTCACTGTATGAATATATGTGGCTGAAAAAATGGCAACCTGTCATAAGCACCATTTTGTACGTACACTACAGCTTCCTATTGTCGTCAAGGGTTACCGCGCCTAGATAGCGAAACATTTGACACACAATATAAGGACTATGCGGAGGTGATGAAAGCTGGATACTTTTTATTCTTTGCTCATAGCGTTGCCAAACAGAGAATGCAAGTACTTGGCACGCCATTTTGATGCTTCACCAGGTTCGGGTACAATTGATTTTGCATCGTTGCTGCTTCTCCGCCACTTTGAATAATTACTCATGCTTCAAACGCTTTAAGCTTCTCAGTGGGTAGGCACTTCCACGCCTTGATTGAAGAATGAGCTGAAAGGGATGATAGGAAAGCCATCATGCGTACAAATCTGTACGTTGAGCACGTTAGCTATGCTCATTCTATGTGAGAGTTTGAGTCCCCATGTTTTATGATTGCAAGCGAGAGCGGCACGTTCATCTTCCCCAAAAAGGCATATCATGCCGATATGAAGGAGCATGGCGTAGAATTGTCAACATCATTCTTGTGATTGACAAGGGTTGCCCACTATTGGCATACCGTGGTGCTGCTCGTGCTACTATCGAAAATCTCACCAAGTCATTGTCGTGTGGAGTGGGCTGCGTTGGCATTATGCTGAATTGCATCGCTCCGGTACGGCGGAGTAAAAAAGCTTACTGTCATTTGGAGAGTCTGGGCTGTTGTGACTGGTATATGAGAGGTAATCATTCGATCTAGTGGCGTGATAACTACAAGTGTGAAGCTTAGCTATTCCACGTGGCAACAAGATTGCGAAGCGTGTAGGAAATGTCGAAGAAGTCTCGGTAGGTACTTGTCGCGCGCTGGAGCAGATGTGACGGGTGACATGATGCACGTTGTGATGGTGGTTGGCACCTGCTGGGACCTCTCCTTGACGTGCCTTTCTACGAAAATAGCCACCAGTACGGCATAGTCGGTGCCAAGCTGTAATGCAATTGCATAAGAGCGTTAACTTGCTGTAGCGCCGTGTTGAAACCAATTGATTGAGCACCACCAGCTCGAACTTCACACCATTACAGCGTGTTAATGACCAGCTGTTAAGTTCAAGCTTATATCATTGGGAAAATGCAAGACGAGCCGCCGAACCTTACACCGCAAGTGCCATGGTGAATCTCATCCGTTTGGAAACTGACTCTCATCGCGAATTCTACACCTATCTTTGAGCTAATATATATGATGCGGCCTACAGGTGCACCGTTCCTCGGGCTTGCATTCCAGTATCGCAATTGCATGCGCTCAATCGTAAGACTTTTGAGTGGTATCAGAGACCTGAAGTGTAATGGGACCCTCGTAGTCCTTAGTCAAATTCGTTGGCTCGTATGCCTATCGAATAGCACCCTGACATCCTGGCTTCATCTTCGTACCATTTACATGCAGCTTTTATCTTAAGCAAGCCGACGAAGTCTATGCGTACTATCAGGAATATGAACGTGTGAGCACATCTGAATGCAAGACTGCATGCGCTGCAAAACAACCTGGTTTAATAATGTTGCATTGGAGCCGGTGCAGCCGTTTCTAGGCCACGGCGATCAGAAACCTTTAAAGCGAGTCCAATACGCACCGACCGTCCTGGTATAAAAGACAAGTGGTCCTTCCTGTCGACGGTATCATAAACTTTGTTTTGCTATCCAATGAATACGCTGAACAAAAACCGCTTCGTGTAGCTCGCTTGTACGCAGATCTCTCGTCAGTCAATTTTTCGGACAGCAATTACCATTATTCTTTCATTCGCATCTACCAATCCTGTCGTTCACCCCGCAGTTGCTGCCGACGTTCCTGTTCGAGAGCATCGCGCACGACGACCTTTCCAATCGCGTAGACACCGCTAGCCACCATGCCATAGATCGCTAATAGATACGAGGCCACAACACTTGCAGCGCCAATGAAACCCAGCACCACGAACGCCGTCGCACTGAGTGGATCAGGCTGGTACGAGAACACCATGTTTACGAGCGAGAAGAAAAAGTAAAAGAGCGCTCCCAACAGCCCGGTCGTGAAATTCATGACTGCCACGAGAACCCAGTTCAGGATCATACTCAGCACATCTTCATCACGTGCCGACAAGACCCGCATGATCATATGATAGAACGTTTGCTGCTGTGCGAAGACCTTGCCTCTCTCAAACGCGCTCCAGAACCGCGCTCGCAAATCCGCCAGACCAAAGTCCGACCAGAGTCCCACATAAGCTCGAGCCTTCTTCATCTTGTCTTCCTGCTCTCGCTCTGCTTTCGCCAGCCTAGCTGCCCATTTGTCGGCCACAGGCTGACGCTGATCCACTAGCGTCTTGTACGGTTCACGGAAGCGCCAAAACCAGACTTTGGCTTCGTCAGCATATTTCTGGGCTTCTGTGTACTTTGTATAAGCTTCATGGTACTCAGGCATATTAGCAGCCTCCAAAATCATCCCTTCGTACGTCGATTTAATCTCAGGCGTCACAGTGCTCAGTCCAGGGGCCAGCAGCATAAAGAAGAGACCGACTGCCCAAAGTATCAATCCCACGCGAACCTTGGGTGACTTAAGAGCCCGTCCAGCTACAGCTTTTAACAAAGCCACGCCTGCATCTCTCTCTTCATTGGCAAAGCGAGTACGTTGCACGGCATCGGAGTCTGGTGAATTGACACATTTAGTAATACAGTGACAAATTAGTGGTGGAAAAGGCTACAGAGCTGAAAAGAGCGATAGCATGGAGACAAGATAATGATGCAGTAGATGCAAAGGTGGCAGAGCAATGTACCTGCTGCGTTGGTGCTGGGGTGACTGGGTCGACGACGCATCTTACTTGCGGAGCTCTTAACCGAGTTTGACGTTAGATAACAGAATTCTAGAATATTTGCAGGAATGTTCAGAATATTCTCGTTAATAAACGGTTAAAAATGTTTTTTTGAACATTACTGCACTAATGCGAATTCTCCATTGGTATTTAAGCAGCAAAAGAATACTGAAAATTGCGACCTCGTTTAGCTCAAGATAAATGACATGAAAATCAGGCCCGATACTTCATTCATGGTTTGCTACTGATCCTAAGCCAACAGTGGCCCAGATCATATCGAAGTTCGCTTTTCGTACAAATCCGTGCCTCCCTCTTCCTTGAATGAGAAGTGCTAATGCTGTTTGCTGTCGCTAGGAAGACGTTCGCTTCTTCGTTTATATATTCGTATCTGTCAGAGTAGTAGAAGGCAAATTGTGAAGTAAAAAATTCGGTCCTTTGTTCGCGACCTTGAGCTACATCGAAGCCTGTCCTATTAGAGCTTCGCTACTGACGTCATCTAATAACGTCAGTCTACCAACGTCATAGCCTTCTAAGCAACAGCAGTTCATCATATCCGTTAGTTGTAACGTCAGGATACGGACATGATATCCTGTAGCACCATTCGCCGGTTCAACATGCATTACATGGTCGATCACAGAATCAAACCCACCAGCGGAACCTTACAAACTTCCTTATCGAAGACGCGCAAGCGGGCTTCGACATGTTTACGAAGATCAGTCCTCGTGACTTCCGATAGTTCGTTGAGAGCCATGTACGGAACAAAGTGGGTGTGACCACCAATTTCACCACCTTTATAGCTGTATCTCTCTTAAGAAAAGGTTTCTGAGAGTCTTCTTTACCATGTGGAAGCACCGCTTTTGCTCTACAGATGTCACCAAACGATCCATGAAAAATCGTTATGCCTCATATAGACCAGTTTGAACAGCGTTTCAATATTTATTTCGTTTCCACGACTCTGCACGATTCAATGATGATGGCGAGCCCAAAGCGCTCACCTTATTGGCTGAACGATCATGAGTGGTGAGTAGACAATTCTAGATGGACAAGGAAGAAGGAAGACAACATAGGATAGTTCTTAGGTAACTTAAACCAATCACTTCGGCTTTCGCATCAAACTACCTCAAAATTGTAACGTTAATCGGAGGAAAAAAGTAACAGGATCACACGACGATTGTATAACTTCTAAAACAGATCGCGGTCGTAGGCATGGCTTTATCTGGATCGAGTCAAGGATGGACATGCTTAAAAATAAGCTCATATGTGACACGGAACATTTCGTGTGGCCGATATATGTGGCGACCACGCCGTACGATTAACAACTGCAGGTACGCCATACAGTCTTTTCTTGGCGGTTCATATATCAGGTAGAAGAATATTTACATGTTTGCCGGAACGCACACGAATTTTTTAAAACGTGGATGAAACTGTTGGAGTTGATTTTGATGAAACATTGTTGCCGAAAGACATGATCGCGAGGAGGACCAAATCGGGGTGAAATGAATTTAGGTGTACGATCGAGCCAAAAGACACGTTACGGTCGGGTACATTTGTAATTCTATGTACACTGTAAGGGTCATAGCGATTTGTCATGGATAGACGAGGTAGCTTTTTACTGTGGCGCTTTGGTGGAAGAATTTGATCGCGATTGAGCATGTTGGAAGTAATTTGAGATGATGCAATCGCACGATAAGTAACCTCGTGAATTATGGCGGTATTTTGTTCGAAGTGCAAGTGACTACATATGTGGTGGAGTGGAGTGAGTATAACAGTTTACAATTAATGATCGATACTATTGATCACGATCGCAAGATTAAGAGAAGAAAAGGTGTAGCTGGGCATCTAGTTACACGCAAACATTAAGTAGTATACTTAATGTTTGGTCTAAAAGTGTCCATGATTACTTTTGACCTGTCACTTGGGTGCGATACATAAACGTGATCCACCCTCGTGAATGTGATATCCAATTATGGATTCACATGGGAAGGGATGACGCTAGTTGAAGCTAGGCATCGCGACGTCTCAGAAGGACGTCACTTGCGATCTTAAATCTAGTTGTAAGATCATGCGACAGGATACGCTTCTAAAGAGTCGCGTATACGATCTTTATATAATCAGATAAGTTAATTATAATTTCTCAAAATATAACTCAATCTGGCATTACGCAAAGCACCACGCACGAGAAGCCTAAAAGCTTCTGCGTGAAATCGGTGGCTTCTTGTTCAGAAGTTCGTTGCGCTCTCGCTTAAGTGAGAGTCAACTGGTTAAACGACTGCTTCGAGGCAACTTCGTATAGGTGCCCGTCTACAAAAGGAAGATTTGAATACGATTCAGAGGAGCAGAGATGGAAAAGAATCATGTCAACGGCTAATGTCAAGGAGACTACTCACGAGCCACGAACTAACCAGTCAAGCGAGAATTGGAGGATCCGATGTGATCTGTAACAATTCAAATTAATATAAACATTTGATCTAAAAAATCGAAATTGAGAGATAAACTATTCTTCACGGTTCCGTCGCATTACTCAGGGAATGTGCGATGACCAGATTAGTAATGCTGGTCTGTTGTGTGAACGAACTCAAACGCTACATACTGACTTCAAAAACATGAGAAAAGCGGATAAACATTGGATTCAGCAAGATGCCTAGAACACTACGGCCGTCGATCATGCTTCTATGAACTATTAACAGCATTGCTTTCTATATTGGGCTGGATCGCAATCTGCCATTTTTTTGATTTTAAGCCAATGTGGATGAGGCTGGATTGGATCGACATCGCTCGGTGGACATCGGCAAAAGATGTGTCACGTCCCAGCTGAAATGAAAGTGACGGTATTCAAAGTCGATATACAGATCACCAATTCTTGGAACCATTTAATGCACTGGAACGATATTGGATCAATCAGTTGATCAATTTCGTTTCAAATTTAATGATCGTATAGTCGATTAATCTGGGAGGATGTGATTGGTCGGGCAACCAGTCGAAATCAGATAAATTCTGAGCTTTTCCAGGTAAAAGTTCCCAATATGGACCAATGATAAATCAACCTGAAATTGTGTGGTTCCCGAAAGGCGGGAACACTGTCGTATTTATTACGACTAAAATCTTCGTAATTAGTACGAATTAAAACCAAAATAAAAATCAGAGTTAAATTTACTTAACACCTAATACTTGGGCTTGAGTCTTCCTCGAGCGCGCGTGTAAGCTAGTGACGGTACGTTCTAGCCCCGTTACAGTCGTAAAGATTGTCGATCTGAGTCTTCAAGTCCCTCAAAATTTTGTCTGCATACCAGATGACCAAAGGCATTGCTCGAGTTGTATTAAACGGCGTGAGATAAATGCGCACGGCTTTGCCATTTTAAACGTAAGTGTCATTATCGGTTGTCTGATGTACGATCCCATGGCGCAAATTTTTATTCATCTTGTCATTGACAAATTCACCACCAGGATCCAAACGAATGCATTTGACTCGAACACCAAATTGTCGTTAAAACTGTGCGTGAAAACTTACGAATTCGTCAAAGGCTTCATTTTTCGTCTTCAGTAAGTAGACACAGTTGTACCCAGAAGCATAGTCAGCAATGTGAGTACGTGCTTGTGTCCCTTTCGGTCGACTGGGGAGATGTCAATCCTAAGGTCGAAGCCGACGACGGCACCAACCTCGTATGTAGGAGCTGATCGCAAAGTGTCTTAATTACCTTGACGGTTGCGAGTTTGCTTAGCTCTAGCACACTGCATACCGGCGGCAAGCCCCTTGTCAGCCATACGAAAAACATTTTGGTAGTTCAAATGACCTAGCGCTTATGCCACTCGCAAAGGGTGGACCTTTCATTTCAAGCTAGAAAAGCAGAAGCCTCATCAGCAGTATCACATATTGCGAAAAGTGTTTAAAAGACGTGTTTGTGAGGACACGAGGGACGATACGATCATTTGAAGAGAACGTACAGCGACCGGAGAATGAATCCACAAAGTTTTGATCAATAAGCTTAGAGATAGAAAGCAGCTTTTGGTGGCATGGCGGGGCCGTAATGTACATCAGTGAGCACAAATAGGGTTGCCTTTCCGTTCGTAATCGTCTTTAGCAGTACACTGCCTTGCTGACTGCCTGAGCCGGTAGGTGCCCACTTAATCGATCTAGTCGAGAGGGGCTTAGAACCAAATTCATTAGGGAGCTTTTCCCTAGCCTTTTTGTTGTTGTCTCAGGGGTATAATACCTGGCCTTCATTGTAACGGGACAAGGACCCATTACCGTCTTACACTAAAAGGGCGTTGAGGAAGCGCTCTTAATTAACTCGCCATTATAATTCTATTTGTTTTTGATCAGTTTTTATTCGCAGTTAGTGCAAATATGTTCCCTAGCTCATGGGAACCACCCAATATGGAAGTCATTTATTATTGATTAATTATTGGGTCTGGCACATCAATAATAAAACAATTATATAATGACGCGTAGAGTTTGCTAGCTGGAAACTGCTCTATGCCTTCTTATGTAATCATGTATTATCCCTATAACTACTTATGTAATAGGTTGTCCCATTACATCACCTCCCCCCTCTTTAAGTTGTGCTTACATTCGTCACTGATGTGTTTGGTAATCCACTTGTTGATAATAATACTCATCTACCCTCTCAACATGTCAACATATTCTTTCGTCCTCTTCTGTCTGCATTCTCCTTTTGCTTGTCGACTGCCTCTTGTAATGCATTACGCACAAAATGCGTGATTCCTTGTCGTAATAGCAGAAATTCGGTTACTGCAGCCGAACTTACAGGCGACAAATCCTCTTTAAAAGCAAAATTAGCAAAGGAAGACGCGATGGAATGCATCGCGTCAGGAGTTGATATGCCGTTGGACACAGAATTACCAGCAGGAGTTGCATCGGCAGCAACCTTATCACATTGTAATCAATCATCAATAGTTTCGGCGCAATTACGTCAGTAGATACTCCCCCACCAAGCTTGGAGACAGGGTGCTCTGAAGCTGAGAGAGCAAGTAGCGCCGGAACGC